ATAGTGTATAGCTTGATTTTCATGCATCCGTTGTTGATACGTTGATACGTCGTTGTTGATACATCATTGATACGTTAATACGATACTAATTTTATTGGTAGAATTTAAAGACTTTGATTGGTTAGAAAATAACGCAGTTTTTAAATTTATTGCATTTTCATGTTTCTGTCCCTGGCTGTAGTGTCGTGACCAGGGAATTACTCCAAGACGTATAATGATGCCAAATTGGACTACCCTGTCCGTCATACCAGGCACCCTCTATTGTCTGTGATAATATATCACAGGCTATGGCTAGATAGAACACTAGCCTTTACTGATCTGCCTTTTTACCTTGGGGCTTCAGCGGGCAACCCATTATATTCTCGTATCCCTTACTTCCACAAAAATCCGCTGGCCCTTAAAATTTTCTATTTTATTTTAGTTTTTTTTTTGTTTAGATTAGTTTAGAAAACTAGTCTATATTATTAATTTTTGTATCTACTATTTATATTGTACACAGAAGAAAGCATAAAAACTCTTGTAATTTAAATGCCATCCATAAAAATATTGCACCGCTTTCGTATCACTAATTATCTATTATACATAATTTCAAATACTTAATATGGAATTTACATTTCACAAAAACCAATAAACATTTTTTCTCCCTCACGCTTTCCAGACAATCAATTACTAAAACCACGAGAAAAATGTAGAGTATTCTAGCTTCTACCAAGGCTCATCACGCAAAATATAATTAATTATGGTAATTGGCTTCAAACCATCGGATAATTAAATTCTATACATAATTCTTATTTTGTGCAATATACAAAGACAATTAATTGCAATTATTTTTTATTGCAATCAAGAAACACACTTAGATGAGTTCGAATAATCACATAAATATAAATAAATATTAAGATTGGTTTAATAAATACATATTGTGACGGTAATCCTGATGATAAAAGTTATAAAGCAATTTACAATTTTAATATAAAAAACGGGAACCCGTGGTAGCAATTTGCAACCCCATTTCTGTTTATTATTTGTTTGTTTATCTCGTAGCTTGATTACATTGAACTGATATCAGTCGTACAGTCAAATTCATACACGTGTCAGTTAATCTTCTAATATTTTTCACCGTATTTTCCAATTTTTTTAGAAGTTATATATTTTCGTTTTTTATTTCTAGGGAGCACAGCTTTGCTAGATATCTAAAGCTGATAACGCTGATAATTGTCTTAATGTGGTTAATTATATACATTTTTTCCATAACAACTGTTAAAATTGCCTTATAGGGTAGATTAAATGATACTTTAATAACGCGGATAGGTTAAAAACTTTATTTCTTCTCGCACTTTTTTAATTGCTTTTGAAAATTTTTATATTCTTTTTTATAAGTTATTCGGGATTTAAATGGAAGTAGTTTGGATATGGCCTTTGTCGCCTCAGCTTGAATATCTGTTGGTAATTTACTTATTTTGTTTTGGGCCATTTCTGGCTCCAATTCAATGAGTAATCGACACGAAGGAGAATTAAAAATATTGACTCAAAACTGACAACTAAATAGACAGCTTTATTTATTTGTCAAATTACATAGAAACCAACGCCAACCCAGCACAATATTTTTCCTACTCGTAGTAAATTCCTTGAAATAATAATTTCTAAATATTTTTTAAAACGTAATTCGCTATGGAAAAAAATATTGTTTTATACACGACGATAAAATTGCATTATCGTCTTGTATAAAAAATAGTATAAAACTATTAGTTATCCTGCAATATATTTAAAAGTTTTGTATCGAATTTTAACCGTATATATTGTGAATCATTTTGTATTTAAACACTTTTCAACTTTAATTTGATTTATACCGTTGCCCACTCACCATAGAATAAAATAGTTTATACTAAAAAAAAATAGTACTACTGTTTTGTAGATACCTTGATTAAGGAATTTTATTTGTTTATAGTGTATTGGCGTTTAGGATTGACCTATTTATATCCATTTGTCCCTTTGACGAATACTTTCTTCGTAAAACAAACAACAAGCAATAAATTACGTCTACAATTTTGTGATTGTTGTTTAGTTCTATAAAATACGTGTCCTACTCAAGATGAACAATGAAGACATATGTGACTTATACCTATAATACAAAAAAAAAATTTAAAGGTTGAAAGAATATACGAGTGTTTGGTGACTGATATTTTAACATTGAATATTATTTGTACAAACTTTGAAAACTTAAATTTTGATATTTTTATATACAGATTATAGGTTTAGATATATTTTTGAATTTAAATTTTAGATATGTAAGCTGACGCTGTTTTTGTTTTGATCGTATGATACTTGCACTTATTTAATGTTCACTATACAGGGTGTCTCAGAAATAAGTGCAAGTATTTTAACTGGTAGTATAGTTCAACCCCAGAAACACGCCTATGAGGCCTTTTTCGCCAAAAAAAAATTTTGAAAATTCGAAATTCTTTGAAATTTTTTTTGAATTTTTGTTTAGTTTTTATTTAAAAAGAATAATTTCTTGATAATATGGCAACATAGGTAGTAGATTAAATTTACAAGAAAGAAAATCCAGAAAAGATCCAGTGGTTAAGTGGTTCCACCCCTTAAAATACTTGCACTTTTTTCTGGGACACCCTGTATATTCAAGGGGAGGGTGTACATACAATAATGTCTGATGCCAACCGAAAACGTGTATTTAGTTGCGGTAATGCTAATTTGGATTTTAATCACTTTGCTGAAGTGCGTATACGATAACTATTTTTTACTTTTTAAAAATAATATGAAAATTTAAAATTTCCCACGGATATGATGTCTTTGGGTTAAAATTTCCTTTTTTCTGGATCCCTAAATTTCACAAGAATTGGGAAATTTTCCACGAATTGGCATCACTGGGTGGTTAAAGTTTTCAAGTTGTGTAATAATCAAATTATTCTTAGGAAGTACAGAAACACAATTTCAGTTTCACTTCGCTTGGAACGATAATTATTTCGACAAGAATTGTTCAATTTAAATTATTCATATAATCCAATTTGTTTAAAGTTTATCGAGTAGTGATTATTATCAGAATATATCTTTTCTCAAGCATGGGCAAAAACATCTACTTCCGGCATCCAGTTACTACATCCTAAATTGCTGCCACCGAAGCAATTGGATGCAGACCGTTTGGAATATTTAAAATTTAAATCAGATGAACTTCTGTCTAAAAATATGTTTTCGTCGTGCTTCAGGAACATAATCTAAATTTATGTGGCATTATGTTCTAGTAATGGCTTACTTTACAAATTTTATTAGTAGTATTAATAATTTAGAGCTGAAATTATTTCGAACAGCATGCTAAAAATATTTAATTCTTTCAAATTTTAATAGGAAGCAATAAAAGTGGCTAATAACGGACGTTTCCTGCTTTTCCTTGTCATATAGGTTATATAAGTTATACGGGGTGAGTCTTAAATAAGTGCAAATATTTTAGGAGTGGTATATTTCGACCCCCGAAACACGATTATGAGGTTATTTTGCGAAAAAAAATTGAACATTTGGAATTATTTTAAAATTTTGGAAATTTTTTAGTCTTATATAGTTTAACAACATAATTTCTTCATAATATAGGAACATAGGTAGTAGATTAAATTTACAAGAAAGAAAACCGAGAAAAGATCCAACGGTTCTCAAATTTTAAGCAGTAAAATATTTTTTTTAGAAACTCCGTTATTTTGGACCTATTTGAAAAACGGTAAATAGAAAAGAATATGTTTGTTTTATCGAGATCTACCAGTCCTGAAAATATTTGCAATTATTTAAGACTCACCCTGTATATCAATAAAAAACGTAATATTAACAATGCAAAGAGTTCTTATTTGTTCAAAATTATTGTTTCAAATTTTAACAAATAGTGTTTTCTCGACTATTGTATGCAATTTTAGGGAAGGAAATGCTAACTCAATATACCGGGTGCGTCTCAAAAGTGTCTCACCCCTATAACTTTTTTATTTTTTCAGATAAAAAAACGAGATTTGGTAAAATACTAACATTAGTATATGACAGAAATTAGGATTGATTGACTTGAGTATTCAATTGTTTTCGGTCACTTCCTGTTTCACCGGAAATGACTACAACTTTTGATTTTTAAATGGCACCCTCGGTAATTTTTTACTTTATTTGACATTCTGAATAGAATTCCATATCATATGTCAACTTTTGACATTCTCGCTGAATAAAAAATTGTATTTTAAATTTCAATCTAGAGTGTCATGGCTATGTTAAAAACACTAATTTTTAATCAAGAAGCCTTGTAAAAATAGATTTGATCGTCTAATGTTTTAGTGTCTTATCCTGGCCGGTTAAAATATGCCCAAATCGTATTTTTAATCAAATCTCAATTTTTGAGACGCACCCGGTATAGTATTGAAAAATAAAAAAAAATCGTCAGTCAATATCGTCGTTAATCTAATAATAATTACATACTTTAAATATTTATTTGCATTAACTTGCTAAAAATACTATTTATTAAAAGATTTTTCTATGTAGAAAATACATATAGTAAAAATCTATTAAATAGAAACAAGACTTGCAGCAAGACTACGACTAAGAGTAGACCCTGCAAGACCAAGATCAAGACAAGGGAGTCTTACTCTTGATCTTGCATTTGCTCATCACTCATAGACACTAACATGATACGGGTAGTATAATGTAGTAATATTATTTTAGCTATATTAAATAATATTAGCAGACTTCCGAATCTTTATTTTTGTTTCTAAAAATATACTGTTATATAATATTGTAGTACTGTGTTTTGCAAGAAATTCGTAATATCGAATAGTACTGAAGCTGTTTTTATAACAATATTTTTTTTATATTGTTTATATCAAATTTTAAAGTTAATTATTATTTATATATTTTGTTATACAAAACTGTTTTATACAATTTAATTATATTTACGGTATAGATCAAATCGTTCCAATAATTATAATTTTTCTGTAAAAATAAATAAAATGTTTAGTAACACATACCTTTTTATATGTCATTTGTTGCTCCCGTTCATTTTAGATATACAAAATAGTTCATAATACAATCTCATTTCCATATATTATAACAAAATCGCTTATTTCTGATTAGCACTGGCACTAAAAACGAGAGAATAATTTTAACCTGACATACCTAATAAAAATTGAATTAATATAGTGTGTAGGATACCAAATAAAAGTTGTAATCGTATGTACGTATGAACAAACAAGTCAATATTTAAAAAATTGAATAAACACCCATAGCTTTGATAAGAAATATGTACTAGTACTATTATAAAATAGCAAATGTTTTATATTTATTGCTTAAATTGTTAAACTTCTAGTGCTATATGGATTATACAGGGTGAGTCTTAAATAGGTGCAAATATTTTTAGGGGTGGTATATTTCGACCCCAGAAACATAATTATGAGGGTTTTTTCGACAAAAAAGAAAAAATTAAATTTGGAATTATTTGAAAAAAAATTGGAATTTTTTTTACTTTTTAGTTAAAAAAATAATTTCTTGATAATATGACAACATAGATAGTAGATTAAATTTACAAGAAAGAAAACCCAGCAAAGGTCCAATGGTTCTCAAAAATTAAACAAAAAAATCTTTTTTTTAACTTTCGAAGTAAAATAACTCAGTTATTTTGGACTTGAAAAAAAACGGCAAGGAGCAAATATGTTTCTTTTAGCGAGATCTACCCGCTCTAAAAATATTTGCACTTATTTAAGACTCACCCTGTATATTAGTTAATATATTTTCATTAATAAAAACTAATACTGTGACTTAAGCACTATGTTTGCTTAATGGATAATGTAAAACTGGAAATATTTGACACACCGACACGCCCACATATACAGGGTGTCCCAGAAATAAGTGCATGTATTTTAAGGGGTGGTAGATCACGATAAAAAAACATATTTTCTCTTTATCTCTTTCCAAATAAATCCAAAATAACGGAGTTATTTTACTTTGAAAACTTCCAAAAGAAATGATTTTTGGCTAAAATTTTGAGAACCCTTGAATCTTTTCTGGATTTTCTCTTTTGTAAATTTAATCTAATACTTGTGTTGCCATATTATTAAGAAATTATGGTTTTTAGCTAAAAACTAAAAAAAAATCCCAAAAATTTTTCAAAAAATTTCGAATTTTCAAATTTTTTTTTCGCTAAAAAACCTCATAGGCGTGTTACTGGGGTTGAACTATAGTACCAGTTAAAATACTTGCACTTATTTCTTGAACACCCTGTATATATTAATTAATTAAGCAATTAATAAAAATAAATACCGATTTTGAAATAGATTTCCAAGACGGTACAAAACAAAATATAATTTCTGACTATTATATGAAATTATCGGAATAAAACAATAAGCTGTTTAATATTTCATTGATTTTTAAAGAAAATATTCTTTTAAATATACTTAATATTTATAAATATATCGTTTATTTTTTAATGATTCGTATTTTGCTCTATTTGGCACAGAATGAGTCGTATCTATTACTACTATTACTCTGACATTATGAATAACTAAGGTAACAAAACAAAATACAATACGATCGAAAAAAAACGGCGTCAAGGACGGCTGGGGAATGAAAATCGATGATGATAATTTTGGCGAGGTCAAGCTAGGGATGTCATTTGCTTTGCCCATGCTCTTCTTTACTTTTTAATGACGCTTACTGCCAGTTGGCCTTGAGAAAATTGTAATTTATTTTTATGTTAAATAAAAATGATATTTAAATGGTGTAGTTTAAAATTCGAGACAAAATAGTTCCTTAGAAATAGATTTGTGTGTCTGGAAACGGGGGGGGGGGGGTATTGTTTTTTAATCCCCCTATGTTAATTTTTGACAAGTTTTATGTCAATTTATAGTAAATAATGACGTCTCTGATGATACTCACCAAACCAAGATTATCATAAATTATCATTACCCCTTCGTCGTTTTTTTTTCGACCATGCGGTATCATTTCGGAATATTATCATATTTTAAAAAGTGTTTGGTATAGTATAATTTACTTACTAAATTTATTCAAAAAATATCTCCGAAAGAAATAATAGAGACAAAAATAATCAGAGTAGAACAATAAATGCTGAAGCTAGAGGTTAAGCTTTAAATTTAGTAAATTAATGACGGCTTCAACCATTATTCTTTTTTATCTCCTTCTTTTGGTTAATGGCAGAAATCCAACTTCTCGTTCGCAACGGTGCCTTAACGAGAATAATTTGTTTATTATTCAGATAACAATGTGTTTATTATGAAAGGTTGTTATTGTTTCAAACAGAAATATCTCTTAAATTAAGAAAGTACTCAAAATATAAAAATATATAATATTACACACTCACCGGTATGAAAAACGCACCTTAATTTGCTCATATACCTAATTTAAAGTTTAAAATATATTTTAAACTTTAAATTAGCGGTGAGTGTTTGACGGTGAGTGATAACACCCATTTGTTAACCACTAAGAGAGAAGTTTAATGTAAATATTTATTTCTTAAAATGTTTTATCTATATATTTTACTTTCCCTTGTTAAGTGGCCCATAAACGATTAATATTATTGCGCAATATTATTGACCGTTTAGGGTTTACATTGAAAGGTTGCACAATATACTGTGTCAATCAAAAACAGTTCGATTTTTATTGTGCATTAGTAATTAGCGAGGGGTGTCTCACTCGGGTAAAAAATGTACACGTACTGTCAAAATATCCTTCCACTGCTAAGCGACTACCAATGACTATGTAGAAGACTGCCTATGACTGCCATGTAATTATTATAGGCGACTGCCATAAGACTGCCAATGACTGCCAGCGACTGCCATGAAAATGTACAGGTAATTCCAATAGTGAGACACCCCCCTTAGTTTGTATAGTGTGTGGATAATATTGCACAATAGTTCAGTATATCTTTGTTTTCTCTGCGTGTTTGTCTCGCTGCTCGGCTCTATTTAGAATATTTAGATCAGTGGTTTGTCAGCAAATATGGGATCAAAAGCAAAAGAGGAAGAAAGGCAATTTATTTTAGAGGTCATCGAAAAGCAAAGAATATAGCAACAGAAATAAAAAAAATGAACAATATGATGAATTAAGCTTGATTTTCATTCATCCGTTGTCCGACGATACGTTGATACGATATTAATTTTATGGTAAAATTTAAAAACTTTGATTGGTTAGAAAATAACGCAGTTTTTAAATTTATTGCATTGTTTCCATAACGATTTTGCTATTTTACTTATATTTTTATTATTGTTAGATTAAATTTGTCAAAAAAGTGTCAAAACGTCCGTTATCGTATGAACGGGTCCGTTGACGGGCTGAAGTAAAATATTTACGGATGAAAAGTGACACAAAAACGCTATGACCAATCAGAGCAACGTCGGACCAACGTATAACAGATGCATGAAAATCAAACTTTACTAGGGGAATATGATTAGCAGAAATGGCATCTCTCATCGTAGTATTCTTTTTTTCAATTTCAGATCGGATCATTCATAACAATTCCCCAAATGTTGCTTCATCCATTCGTAGAAAGTTTCGGTAATCAGCAGGTTCACTAACTTTTAATTTTTTTAATAGATTTTCATGACGAGAGGCCAGTATAGCCTCTTTTCTTATACCAATCTTTCATCCATTTACTTCGACACTTTTGTTTCTTTGTTAAACATGGCCAAAATAATGGCAATAGCAGCTTGTTTTTTCTTATCCATGTTAACCAAAGTGCAAAACAAAACTAGTTATTGAACAAATTCATTGTACTGTTTGGAGATACTAACAATATTATTGCGCAAACATGTTGACCGTCTGTGGGCCCCTTTTAGAAATACACTCTTTAAAATAATTGCTTAGAATTAAAAATATTCAATAACTAATTTTTTATTAATATAATCTTTTGATTTTAATTTTTTTGAAAGGAAATAAAAGATATAAAAAAATTTCAATTTTTTTGTATTTACAGCCAAAAATAGCTACTGCTGCTTTATTTTTATGCAGAAGTATAAAGTATATTATGAAAATAAAGTATAGGGAATACTTATTAAAGAGTGATTGGCTATCTTATAAGATACGTAGAGATGTCTAATTTTTTTTTCTATATTACCATGTAGCATGAAAATGCAGAGAGATATAGCAATGTCAAGCAAAAAATAAGTATAAAAAATGTCTCTTTACCAAGAGAAAAAATAACTACAATCTAAATGAGACAGTTTTCATAAGTTGATGTTATTAGGCAATGCTATTTATTCATCATTCTTAGTAACGTTAGTTGTAAAATTATTTATTCTTTGCTATAGTTTTTAAAGTAATAAAATTACTAATTTCTAAATTTTGGTTATAAATAGGATTTAGTAATTGCAATAATTGAGTTATGAAATCGATATAAGAAAAGGGATCGTGGGTGCAAAAAAATTACGAGACGTTTTCAATTCATTCAAACAGTCAGTGAGAGCATACCGCTATTATTCGTAACAAGCAATTTGTGGCAATCGTTTGTTCCACTATTTTTAAAGTCAATGTATCATGCAACACCAATAACACGCGACACAAACCTGAGTAAAAATCAGGAAATTAGTATCTATCTATTTTGTATAATTTTTCTTTTATCATATTGTGTCAGTAATTAGAATTAGTATCACTATGATTAAGTTAGCGTCATTGGATTAGAATTAAAAATATATGTCTTGTGTTTTTGTCATAAGTACGTATGTATGATTCAATTAACCTATCAAGTGTATTTAACTCAAATCTAAAAGAAGAAAAAGACTCAAAGTCTTTCTTAACTCATTTATAAACTGATTTTTAAACTTTTAATACTTGATACTGCTTGATGCTGCTGATGACTTGATATTGATTATTTGGATATACTTATAATCAAGTCACTGGTTATAAAACATTTTTTCATATTACATTATAGTTTGGTTTTAAAAATATACAAATTTAAAGTTGTTAACTTATTAACCGCTCGGAAATAACATTTTGTTTTTTATAATTACTCTTTTGGTTGATGATTTTCATTTACTATTTTTATTTTATGTTTGTTAAAACAAGAATGAGACATTCAATTCGAGAATTATTGTTTTAGGGTGACATAGTTTTCATAGCCACCTAAATTATTTTATAACACCTATGAAGAAATCACTTTATTATACATCATAAAA